TGAAGCGGTCCAAGGCCTTCCTTCAAGAGACAGGCTTAAGTGAGGAAATGTGAATGAATTCCTCTCCACGTAGACACGCTTCTATAGTTTATTAAATGTCGTTTCCGACGGGATTTGAATATTGCCTTTCAAGTGCATTCAACAAAAGTGACTGCACACAAATGATGGAATACGGAAAATCCGCGCGTCTCGGAAGACAGAGGGGCATTTTATCCTGTTTGAGGCCTCCTTTCAACAATTTCCACGTCATAATGTTATAATTTGCACTGTCACTCTAAACAAATGTCTCATTTAGTGCGATCGAGAGTATGAGAAGAGTAATCGCTTCATGTTCATGACTATTTGTGTAATGGAGAAGTAGGAAGGCTCCTGTCAGCAATTACAATGCATTTTTATTTTGAGCCGTATCACCATGAAATGTGGCCTGTTGTGCTGGACTAAGAAGAGAGAGGCATGTAAAACATCTGACCACCACCAAGAACACTTTGATGGCAGATGCCAAGAAAGGCATGGATCTGGAAGACACCGTGGAATGTGAAAATACAGCTCATCAGCATGATTTGTGTCAAGACCAACATCCACCGATCGTCTTAACAGATGGAATGCATTCGCGCGGCAATCGCTACATGTGCATGGCTGTGCTACTGAAACGCAGTCTGCCGAGCTGACTACTCCTGGATTAGATAAATCCACATGAAAGTGTGAAACTCTGCATCCGATCAAATGTCTGCAGAGTTCATCCGAGTTGTTTGCAGTCCAACACCGACAGCTGACTAGGTGGTTCAAGGTTAAAGTCCACGTTATCGTGAGGTATAGGGTAAACCAGTTCGCCTTTCGGATTCTGACCGACCACAGCTTGCAACATCACCATCTCAGCGACGGCCAATCAGCTAAATTTTTAGCATCCGTTGCTTCTCCTTTAAATGACCTTTCTTCGGAGTCACTGCAAACTATGTTCCACCATATTCGTCTCACATAGTCTCCTGCACCGCGCCTCTGCACCGCGCCGAATCTAGCAGGCTGACAGTTAATTTTGCAACATCAGATGCCTCGAAATTTTATGAGTAGCCAAGCAATGGAAGGTCAATTGAATTTCGCGTGCCGAGAGGCGTTAATAAACAAGTGAAGGGGTAGACAGAAGGGGTGATTATTGCGGTGGGAATGGTACCCACAATCATTCACGATTGCAGAGATTTGACACCTTACAGAGTTGGTGCACAATGCCTTACTAGAGTGACCCTTGGATTTGGACCAAGAGAAAGTAGTAATAATAGCGCATTAGGCTGGGAAGCAATTGTACACACGAAGTCAAAGTTGCTTCATCCCTCCTAGCCAACAGCCTGACCTGAAGGGCTGCAATCATGAGAAGTCTCTGCTACTCTGCTGGTGCTTCGAATCCATTGGTTGATTGTTGAAGTGGGTGTAGAAATGCATGAACCGATGAGGTGGTAAGGAAACGGAGGATAGCACTCTTTTCCATCGTGCACCTCCAAAAGCCCCGGGTGAGACTGAACAACACTGGCATTTCAAATTTGTAACAAATTACGTCGCAAAGCGGTAAAAGAAGGAAAGTCGGTGGTTGCCTGATTCCACGCAAGTATGAACTCAAATTCATCAAATGCGTAGGATGTGTCTGAGTCTCCTCTGCAATTCATCAGCACTGCACCACTGCAATGCTTGGTCTCCAATAAAAGCTGTGTATGCACGAATCCTCTAAGCTGCAAGCAAATTGGCCTCTTATTCATGAGTGGACGAACATCGTAGCATCCAATCAGTTAACCTTTACCTGCTTCACGAATTCCAACATTTGGATCTCTGTTTTAATTATAAGTGTAGGATTTGAGGTAAATTAGAAATTTAATGAAAGTGGCAGTGACAGTGACTATGAGGAGGAGACTGAAGACTTAGCTTAGGCCAAGGAAGGCGTAATGGCGTTGGAGATGGTCTTGAGATTTCAACAACAGCAAGACTCTTCACTACCTCCATTACAGCCTTTGGTTCAGCTGCCACAGCAACATCAGTAGCTGCAATAGCTTCACCATCAGCCTTCCATTTCCTAGCATCAACAACATCTTGATCATCAGATTTTACAGCAACAGACTCAACGAGGAGGCCTGCGTGGACGGCTTCTAAAAACCGATGAGCTTTAGAAAATTAGTAGAAATAAAGGCGCAAATTTGCTTTCCTATTATGGTCTTTTATTTAGAAATGGCATCATGAAGCTACTATTCCAGAAAACAGTCTTTTTTAATTGCAATATGAGAGGTTCGTATACTACTTAAATGAAACTAAGCAGTTAGTTATGAGGAGAAATATTATATTGTCAAGAGAATCTAATGTGATTGATGCATGCCAGATCGATTGGGTTAAACAAACGAGACTAATGTTAGGAGGGATTACCTAGTTAAACTTCTGTGCAGACCCATTACGATGTACCTGATCTTACTCTTCCTATCCTTTCCCTCCCTCCATCCTTCTATGTGCTGACTTCGAAATAGCCTGTCGGTCACAAATCAGGCTCGGGTTCAGTCAATCTGTATCAACACCAAGGTCACAGATTCTAGTGGTACCAAAATTTTAAGCAGACCAGGCGCTGTTGTAAACTTTCCACAGTGAATGTGGGACAACATACTGGCAAAGCATGGCCAGTGCCCCTTCGCTTTCGTCAGATCTCGCTTAACATTTAGCGCTTACCTCAACCACCAGTACTGCACCGTTAGGGCTCCTCAAGTTTGCAACACATTACACCCAGTAGGGTGAAGCGGAGAAGGTCTGCAAGACCAAAGCATCAAATGCTCAACCATTTTGTCTCGTTGATATATGAGCATAACTTACAGGGCCACAACTACTGCTGGAGTGTGGACGAGGGTGAGGTGGGGACGAAGGGAGGAGATGGGGGTAAGGTGGCTCCATTCTCACCTATTTTTAGTGTATTGACTGAACCAATAATCACTGCAAATTTTTAAATTTCAAGGGTCTTCAAGTAATCAACTGGTGACCAATCGAGTGGATGTCCGCCAGAGTGCTCACCGGTGAATGATCTACCATGAATAAGGCATACGGTCAAATCGTCGTGAAAGTCTTTTGGGCAGTAAGATTACCTCGTGAAGGAGGCTTTTATATCGACAAACGGAGTAGCCCCTTGAGTGCATACCCGCATGATTAAGTGGGCCGAGATGCTATGCAATGTGACATGGTAAGATAAGCTATTATCCGGCAACATGTCACACCTAATCGGTTGTCGCACAGAAGGTCCACCACATCAAGACCTTGAATGCGCATAAATTTTTTCTTGTCGATATATAAACACATTTCACGGAACTATAACCATCTAGTCATGAGACATCTGGACAATCTTGTTTGACAGATGATGTGACCTTACGCTTGACAAGAGTGGATTCAAAGAATGAGGCAGTTTAATCACAAACCGACATCTCTTGACCTGGCAACACATCGGCGATCAAATGTCACGTATGTTGCAATCCATTCTGAGGAGGAAGACGGTGACGTGATGTGACTCACTGAGCCGTGGCCACAGAGTCGGTTGACAGAACGCGAGCTCTGTCAAATGCTGGCCCTATGTGGCACTCAAGACGTGACCCAATCATTCGTTAAGTCTATGATAAAAAAATGCTTTTTGACTTTGTCTACCAGGCAGCATGCTGACTAATACTAAGTGAATTGATGATCGGCGCATGACAGGTGAGCAAATATGCACACCTCCATGATTCGTGCTTCAGACAACAAAACCATATTTTGCGCATCCCTCTGCGAGTAACCACCCAGATTGGTAGAGCGAACTGACTTTGTCACGAATCAAAAAAGCTGACAAGCTGTTGATCAATATTAATCATGAAGACCAACGCATGAATGGGGGGCTCGATGCCGAGATGATCGTTAATCCTCACCCAGTTAACCCTGCCACCAATATCACTGCATGTCGCATATGTGACATTTGGTGACCTGAGCAGCTACCGTTGTCAAACAACTCGTTTCAGTTCATCTAATACCGCCAATCTTGGCGCAACCTCATCGAACTTCGCATGCAACGAACCAATAGAAAGTGAGGTCGGATTTGATTGGCCAACGCAAATGTATTTTTGGCAATGGCTTCGGACACGAGATCAACGAGACATGCAGTCTGAGAAGTTTGATGTGGTAAAGTTCATTGCTCGTGGGTCCTACGCCACTGTCTATGAGATAGTCTACCCACCGCAAGGTGATGAGACGGCAATGTGGCCGACAACCAAGACCACGAAGTGGGCGCTAAAACGCATTTATTTGCAAAACGAATCTGCTGTTCGTTGTGCTCTTCGGGAGCACCGTATCCTTGTGCGGCTCGCCCTGGCGGAGGAGCAATCGCCATTTCTAGGCACTCTGTTTCAAAGCTTTCGAATCCACGGAGGTCCAGCCTTTGTACTGCGCAAAGGAAGTGGCTTCGACCTGCAAGATCTCATCTCAAACGTTGGCTTTCTCGATGAAGAGGATGCACGCTTTTACAGCAGTGAAATTATCTGTGGTCTGGAGTACCTTCACACCATGCGCATCGTCCACTTAGACGTCAAACCCACCAATATGCTAATTGCTGATTCTGGACATCTCTTTATCACGGACTTTGATCGGTCATACGACATAACTCGGGAAGCGGAACCACCCAAGAAGGTGGACTTCACCGGAACCCCCTTATTCATGGCACCTGAGGTAAAGGATCAGGTGGAAATCACGACGAGGGCGGATGTGTGGAGCCTGGGTGTTCTCGTGGCCTTCATCATGTACGATCGCGACAAGGTGCAAAATTGGCTGACATCGGGTCATCTGAGGAAAGGCCGTTTGTCGAATATGTCCGCACCTCTACGCCATTTCTTCAAAGCCTGTCTCAGACGAAATCACATTAAGAGATTGGATATGCATGATGTCAAGTGTCTTGAGTTCTACAAGGACGTCAACTGGGAGGCAGTTGTGGCATGCAAGATGGTACCGCCTTACCACCCCTCCAATTTGAAAGTGTCTGCTGCTCAGGAGAAGTTCAAACTTGATCCCTACGATCCGCTGCTTCTTGCTGCTGCTTACGACAAGCACATGCCGCTGATAGATCGGCATCTGCGACACATTCGTAAAAAAGGTGGAGTGCGTCGGTTAGAGGTAGTGGAGCCAAACCGAAAGCTACTGAAAAGCGCTGGACTAACAACAAGCAGGATTGACGAACTGCTCGCTGATTTCAACTTCATTAACCCACGCCTCCAATCATCCCATGAAGTCAAGGAGACGCAGACTGGCAGTGGTAACAAAGACGCGTCTTCCGAGTTAAAGCTGGGCGAATTAGAGGGCTGTTCTTCACTGCTGCAGCGCAGCAAACGACGCAGTCGTAAATTGTCATCTGTTGTAACTAAGTACAGCCATTTGTGATATCCACCCATTGTAGACTCTTTTTGCCATTTTCTTCTGTGTACATATGAGAGCGCTGCGTCTGTTTGGAATATACACTTATGTATTCACAGGGTGCATTTACTCGGCAGTGGACGGGGATTGTCTGGAGGGAAACAAAAAGGGGTTTTAGTATGCCTGATTTACCCACTTAAAGACAAAGGATGTGCTGATAGTCCTATGTAAAAAGCAGAAAAGGGGTGCTGAATCTGAGCTGCTTTTGTGTTGACAGCGCCTTTGTCCATGGATTGGCTCTTTCGTACTAACTTCCAGGGCATATGGTCGGCATCATCTCGGTTTGGTGATCAGTTCATGGGTTCGCAACCAACTCTGTCATGAGTCACCCGTTAGAACGACCACACTGTGGCGCTACTTGGGTCACAGCGTTGACCTTGTTTCTGGCATGTGATTTTATCACTTTTGCGACCGTGGGCAACAATAACATAGGGCAGAAGGGGGCTTGTAATTGTCACCCAGTCGACTACTTTACCCACCAAGTCTGCACATACTGCCACCTACCTTCATGAATGACAGGATCGTTCAGTTGGTCCATCCTGTTGTAACCTCATCTCTCCGACTGTCCGCTGTCAATGATCTTGACCCACTATAAAATGCACCTGTCAGGATGAGTTAGGAGGGCAATAATAGGTCAAGGGACGAGATATTGTGGAAGGTAGCTTTGTATGTGCTTCTAGGTGTTGTTAATATCAGGCCTAAACCGACGTACTCAAGGAGCCTCTCCTCTTCACTCTTTTGATAGCATGGTCATATAAACCGCCTTTTTTGTACATTCGGTAGATTTGTCCGCCCCAGACGCCACATGAAAGAACTCCATCAAGCCACTGAGGACATAGGAGGAGTTAAGTAACTCTGGTGCCCCATTCAAAAAGTCTGCCCTTCAGCTACTCCTAACAAAAGGATTTCTTATCTAAGGTGATGAGACGAATTGGCAAAACATTCTGGTAATAATTCCCTTTGCGCCTAATACCCAAACACTTTTGAACTTTTCGAATTCCATCCTCTCCTCCTTTTTTTACTAGATGGCAACAGCCTGTACTTGCAACGACAATGGCTGGAAGGGCTAGGTCGCTCTAAATTATGAATGATGGGTCACCTACCTCCATTGCGTAATTGTCCAGTACTCCAGCCATCCACCCAGCAGGTGAGCACCCACCCAATATTCACACTGCGTTTTTGCCCCTTTTTTCCGAAGTCTTTGTTAGGTTGTCGTCGTGTGCTCCTGACAACTCAGCTTGTGCACATTTTAAGAGGTTTTGTTCCCCTTTCCCCCTTTAAGGTAACTGAGAACTGTGGATTCACCACCCAAACACGGCAGCTCTAATCCTCCCCAAATAATGTGCTGCACAGCCATAAAGCTAATTGTGGACTTTGGTGGGAGGCAATGTCACTGTTCTTACCAGAGCCTCCACTGTTTTCCTGTGGCGGCCTCCATCAACTTGAAATATGTCAGTATGCAAGATCAGAAGAGGGATTCCTTATATCTACCTCCACAATGTGGAGGGACAACCCAACATTTAAGAGCGTGGAGGCGATGAAAGTCAAGTGATGGGAGAAGTCATGCAGATGCATGCTATGAGCATCAGCCTTGATTAAACATGCCACTGATGGATGGGTTTTTCGGCGAGTGACGAAGCAGACATTCTTCCTATTGCCCGCAAAGAAGGATTTGTGGGAAAACTGCATGAGGGATGGAGAGAAGGTGGCTAATTTAGTGATTTGGAGTGAGAACTCTGAGCTCCCCTGAATTGCATTAGGTTTAAAGAATTTTTTTGTAGGTACTGGTAGTACGATGTTGTATGGCGTCACCGACGTCAATGGGAACTTTGTGCTATATCTGCTTAACCTTGCATTCAATTGGATGACAAGCACACAGGTAGGACAGACAGGTATCTGGACGTTGCCTGCCATAACAGAGGTAACGCTGCCTACGTGGTAATAGATCAGGTGTAACTGGAACAGGAAGGAGGGAAAAGTCGAAAGAACACATTTCACTACAATACAGGAAAAATTGTTTTTTTTAATTCTATCCTCACATCAGCTGAGGGCCCAGAGTCCCGTTGTTAAGAACGAAGGGCTTGACGATCCCAGTGCGAGTGTGCTCTGTGACTACCATAAGTGGGGTGCGAGCGTTCACGTTTGCCACCTCCACGGAGCCTGTGTGTTCATGAGGTTGTTTAATGCCCTCGAAGTGGCAGCCCAATGAAGGGCTGTATTGCCTCGAGAAAGTGAGGCCTTTTGGCCAGCGAGGCGGCTGACCATCCCTCTTGATGGCACCCATAGCTGCGTTTGTGAGAGGCGTGGATGTGGACTCCTCGCCATTTCTGTTTATGTTGGCCTGTTGAATCAGTCATGCAGTTTTGTTACAAATTGCTTCTTTCATAAACTGACTGCCATAGGTGCAGCACTTTTGTGCCCTCTTGACATCACACACATGTGACACATGTGGTTGCATCAAACTGCCATAAATAGGCTGGTGAAGGCCAAATTACCGGAATACGTGTGGCCTGAATGCGTAGTCCTACTGATTTTTCATCAGTAGTGTAGTCTAAATCCTTTAAGCTTTTTTTACTGCGGCTGAATGAAAGGATAACAGCAATTGGGGATAAAAGTTTGCACTCTTTTGCCTTTTATCAGACTACACGTCAGAAGTGAGGCATTTGAATGACCCATTGACCTCTCAAACTGACGATATGTGGAAGGAAGCGTGGGATTGGAGAAAGTGACTTGCGCCCTTTTAGGATAGCTCTCTAGCAAGTGCGGTGATATTGGTGGCTACAGTCTCAGAAAGAGTAAATCTTTTTCTCTGAGCTGCCAGAGCATTCCTAACCATGCGTCTCACATTCGTTTTTACCGATGTTGCATATTTACATGCTTGTCACTGTTGACGATGTCAAGTTGCTTGAGTACGCGACAAAAGGGAGGAAAACTATAGGGTGTCTAAGAGGTCTCTTGAGAAAGTTGTTATATTCTTCGGGCAGAAGGAGGACTTTTTCAAGAGCAAATAAAGTAAATACCGTGCAACAAACAAAGGTCATGGTATTAAACCAAACTTTTGGATGTCAACCGCTGTCATGGATTATGAAGTTAATTTTTTCATTCTTGGAATTCGGCCATCACAATCAAAAGGTCTTTGCGTCATCCGGATCACCTCAAGTAGTCCGCACCAGGATTAAATCTCTCTCTCTCTCTGCCATTCAAAGTTTTCAAACTTTTTGTTTCCTTCCGCAAATTTGACATGATTCATTTTTGATTTTGAGAAAAAGGTGCTAGATCCACAAGAGGTTGAGTGGACCTTTAAGTGATGGCATGGTGACTTCTTCAGTTGATGTAGGCACAATTTAACTGCCTCGCCACTCCTTTTGCTGTATTCTGCTTAAAGATCTGGCTGTGCCGATGCAAAGCGGTAAGTTGTTGCTGCAGAAATGAGGTAGATTTACTCATGCACTACTTCTCCATCTGCCTAACCGTCGTAATGAGCGACTAAGCTTCTCATCACTACCACCGCACACTACGACTGCAATTGGCTGCCGCCTTCACCGACAGTTTTACGTCACACCTGTCACCTACTACTCCATGTGTTACTGTAATCGTGACATCCCTTCTATTCGGTTAACCCAATCGCTTTGACATTCATCTATCACATCATCATTTACTGTCATGGCATTACTTCGCCTATCAAGGAACTACTCAATTCCATTTAAGCTGCGCGTGACATTCCAATGCTGTGATCAAATAGAAGACGATTTCTTGGATTGTCAATACCATGATACATTTTGGGAAAGCAAATCTATGTCCGATTGGCCAACTTTAATCCTAATAACCTCCTGATCCGACTAGGTCCTCACTTTGAGTCTGTCGCTGGAATGTCTGGTGTTCTAGTTGGGGTTGTTGATGCTGACCGATGCGTTAAAGGGAGTCATGAAAGGCTAGCGGTGGTATAGTTGTGGCAGCTGAGCCAAAAGATGAGGTGTCGGTGGTGGATGGCCTTGCTTTTGTTGGAATTTGAACACCATCTCCACCTTCCTTCCTCTTTTCTTACCTAATTGTCGTCTTCAACCTACTCTTCATCGCCACCGTCCCTGCAATTTTCGTTGACCTTCCACTTTACTTCAAAACCTCCCATCGCAATTAAAAGAACAGCCGACTACTGGAAGTAGTGAAGTAGGCGTAGGTTTAAAGAATGTCTGCAGAGAACATTTCACAGCCTTCGACCGTACAGGAGGCCAGTAAATTGCTGCGAAATTTGAAGGTTCTCCATTTGTCACCACGTGGCCATAGCAACGAGCGGCTATTGCCCGTATGTTTCAGTTAGAAGGTGAGGTGAGTACAAGGCTGAGACTTGACATTGGTTGTTGCAGATGTTGACGGCAGGTAGACCGTATGCGACATTAGAACCACTCTGGTGGACCTTTGTGTGAGGCGTCTCCACGCAAAGCTAGACAAAACTAAACAGCATCACTAAGGATTTTATATCCATCTGCAGAAGGGATCGTGTCCAGTTGATTATGTCCTCTGAGAATAAAGAGGAGGAGGGGAGGGAGGGGAGGGAGGGAGGTGGAGGTAGGAGGT